TTGTCTACTAATTCTATCATTTGTGCTATTTCTGGGTCAGTTTCAATTGATGGGCTTTCTCCTCATTAGGTGTCAGATTGTTGCTGGGTGGAGTGTGGCACAAAACTTGTGGGATCTTGACTCACTATTGAAAGGAATTTCAGAGCAGCCAGCAAAGTTATTTAAACAGAGTTTATTAGTAAGAGAAAGAGAGGGAAAGAGAGATTCATGTCAGAGACAGCAAACTGGTATGGGTGAATTTCTTGAAAAGAAAAACTGTGTTTTTGCTCTGTTCTAAAAGTTCGATATATTTTCACAATAATTGATATGCTAAAGAGGGTGGAGCACAGGTATCCACTGCAGAGAGATGACTATCTCTCTGTCTCTGATAGATGAGGAGTGTGGGCTTTTCTCAGAACATCCATTTTTATCTTGGTAGGCCAAATTGCCAGACTTGATGATTATGAGCTAAAAGGTGGTCTGATTTACATTTCTATAGCTTTCAGTTCCCAGTCAGGGAACTACCTTGATGGGGTTTTCCTTTGATGAGGGGGTAGGGTGGTGTAGGAGTCCACATTGAATCCACATTCCAGACACAGGGCAGTTTGGCCTGCAGACAAGATGTCTGGATGCTTCCTTATTTTAAACTGAAAACTCATAACAGCAAACCAAACCAGGCAAAGTGAGGTCCAACAGGAGGTCCAAACTTCACCGGTATGATAACCACTTACGTACCTAATCCTGAACCGTACCCCACATCTTTACAATAAAAAGCATTAACAATTAAAAAAATAAACTAAAAACTGCCTATAAGAAATGTATCTATCTATGTCTAACCTGCACTAACTACCCTGCCTCAATATTTTCCTAATTCTATGTGTGCCTGGTAATTTTGGATTAAATGCCAGACATTGTGAATTTTACTTCCTCGGTGCTGGATATTTTTGTATTCCTGTAAGTATTCTTGAGTTTTGTTCTCTGGTGCAGTTAAGTTACTTGGAAACAGTTTGATCCCTTGATTGTTGCTTTGTTAGGCAAGACCACGACTGTGCTTAGCCTAAAGATGATTTTGCCCCACTTACTGAGTCAAAGCCCTCCTGGGTTCTCTATTCAATGGAAATAGAGACTATTCTGGTCTATGTGACCTCTAAATATTGTTCCCTCTAATCTTTTTGGGTGGTTCTTTCTTTAGCCTCAGTAAATTAGGCACTATCTACAGGTGATTTCCTTTCATGCTTATCCCGATCAGTACTTAGCTGAAGACTTGAGATCTTTAGAATTCTTCTTTTATGCGCTCTTTCATCTCTGATACTCTGCCCTGCAAACCTTATCCACCTTGGCCTTTTTGAACTCTCAGCTCTTACTCCTCAAATAAGAGAGATCACTGGGCTCCACCTAGATTCTCCCTCTCTGCACTCATTATCTGGAAATCTTCCCCAGGCCTTAAGCTGAGGCCAATCTTAGGGTCACTTAATTTGTTTCCTATTTCTTGGAGATCAGTGTTCTTCACTGTCTAATGTCCAAGACCTTGAACACACAGTCAAGCTGGGTTCTTATGCGTGCTGCCCAGAAAAATGAAAAACGGGATACAGTCATTACTATGAGAAGTTTAACATCACAAAGCAGTAAAGCGAGGAGGCCCAGAGAAATCTCAATCCACCTCTCTGCAGATTCAGAGGATAAAATTTTTAAAGGGAATTTGGCTGGCAGAGGGATGGGGCTGTCAATTGGTCAACGATGTCATAGGGTAGGGGTGTTGAGACTGTCTTCCTGGAAGTCCCGTGACTGGTAGGGGACTTCCTCATGCTCTGGACCTGGAGGAGTTCAGGTCCTCCAGAGTACAAATTCTGAAAAAGATCTCACATACCATTCTTAGGTGTTACAATCGATTCTGTCTATAAAGCAATTCTCTGTACCATTAGGTACTATGCCCTTGTCTTGTGGAGAGAAACACAGGGGAAGAAACTGAGGCCGCCCACCTACAACCAGTACCGCTTTGCCAGGCACATGAGTGACTTACTTTACAAATGTATCCCCAGCACCAGTCAAGCTCTCAGATGACTAAAGCCCTGACCCCAACTTTTTATTTTTAAGTTGTTTTTATTCTCAAGGGGTACATGCACAGATTTGTCACATGGGTATATTGTATGGTGGTGAGGTCTGGGATGCTATTAAGCCCATCCTTCAAATGGTGTGTATGGCACCCAATAGGTAGTTTTTCAACCCTTGGCCCCCCCCAAGATTCCCCAGCCTCTTGTTCCCATCTTTAAGTTGACGTGTACCTAGCTTTTAGCTCTCAGTTATAACTGAGAACACGGAGTATTCAATTTTGTTTCTGTGTTAATTCACTTAGAAAAATAGCCTCCAGCTGCATCCATGTTCCTGCAAAGGACATGATTTCATTCTTCTTTATGGCTGTGTAGTATTCCATGGTGTGAACATACCACATTTTCTTTATCCAGTCCACTGTTGATGGGCACCTGGGTTGGTTCCATGTTTTTGCTGTTGTGAACAGTGTTGCAATAAACATACAAGTGCAGGTGTCTTTTTCATAGAATGATTTATGCTCCTTTTCGTATATGTCCAGTAGCAGGATTGCTGAATGACCTAACATTTTGATGGCCACCTCATGAGTGAATTTGAGCCAGAATCACCCAGCTAAACCACTCCTGAATTTCTGATCCACAGAAACTGTATGAGATAATACATGTTCATTGTTGTTTTAAACATCCCAAATGTTGGGGCAATTTGTTACTCAGTTTTAGATAACTTGCACATTTTGGTATCTGGAGCTAGAATGCCTTGACACAACCGACAAGTACAGGCAAGAGTATGGACCTGGTGAACAGAGGCTGGGAGGACCCTGAGGAAAGTGCTGGGGAGCTCACACCATTGGCACTGCCTGGTTCACCTGAGCCTGCAGCTGCTCCACCCTCTGCGTGTAAAATCATTGTATCTGCTGCTTCACCTCTGCCTGGACTTCTTGCACCAAATAGCCCCAGATCCATCCTAACCAAAAATATATAGAGGATGGAATTCCGGAAATATGGCTCAGTCTAGCCATGCTGACCTGTTACAGAAGCACTGTGAAATGCTGCTTTGTATTTTCTTTTGAGTTGGAGTCTCACTCTGGCGCTCAGGTTGGAGTGCAGTGGCACGCCCATGGCCACCGCAGTCTTGACCTGCTGGGCTCAGGTGATCCCTCTGCCTCAGCCTTCCAAGTAGCTGGAACTACAGACATATGCCACCACACTTGGCTTGTTTTTGTGATTTATTGTAGAAATGAGGTCTTGTCAAGTTGCCCAGGCTGGTCTCGAACCCTGGGCTCATGCCATCCTCTCACCTCTGCCTCTCAAAGTGCTGGGATTGCAGGTGTGAGTCACTGCCCCCGACTGAAAGGCTCTTATGAAGTTGTCCTTGAGGTGGACCATGTCAGGGGTCAGGAGCAGGGCTGCTGGCACCCATAGCTGCCCGAAGCACTGAAGTGTCAGGGGTGGGGGTGGGGTCCAGGACACAACAGAGAGGAACCCAGACCACCACGAGGAGAGAGGGGGACCTGTATTGTTTTGGAGGGGCAGAGATTGTCTCTGTGAACCGGAAGTAACAGATTTTTTTTATTGAGTTGGAGTCTCTCTCTGTCGCCCAGGCTGGAGTGCAGTGGCACACTTACCACCACCACAGCCTCGACCTGCTGGGCTCAGGCGATCCTTCTGCCTCAGCCTTCCAAGTAGCTGGAACTACAGGTGCACGTCACCACGTCCAACTAACTTTTTGATTTATTGTAGAGACGTAGTCTTGCCATGTTGCCCAGGCTGGTCACGAACCCCTGAGCTCAGGTAATCCTCTCACCTCCGCCTCCCAAAGTGCTGGGTTTACAGGTGTGTGCCACTGTGCCCAGCTGGAAGTAATAGATGTTTTTGGGGTTTTTTTTTGAGTTGGAGTTTCAGTCACCCAGGCCCAGGCTGGAGTGCAGTGGCATGTTCATGGCTACTGCAGCCTCGACCTGCTGGGATTCGGCAATCGTACTGCTTCAGCCTTCCAAGGAGCTGGAACTACAGACATGCGCAACCACACCCGGCTTATTTTTTGATTTATGGTAGTGAGGAGGTCTCACCAAGTTGCCCAGGCTGGTCTCCAACCCCTGAGCTCAGGCAGTCTTCTCACCTCGGCCTCCCAAAGTGCTGGGATTACAGGCGTGAGCCACCGCGCCCAGCCGACTTCATCTTTTCTGACCTGAGTTTCTCTAGCTGTGGGATTCACAATCGTATCTGGATCATTCTGTGGGGAGCCACAGGGAGACATGCCTTACACAGCATCAGGCACAGAATTGGTGTTCATCGACTCGTCTCCATCAGCTCTTGGTCATCATTCACTGTAGCCTAAAACTGGGTTTACGTGTAAACTGTAGGCCATGGCGTGCCCACTTTCCGCACTGGTGTCAGAGCCCTGGGGTGTGGAGCGGGCTGTCCTGCCATGATCTCTCCACATACAGTGATCTTCCCCTTCTGGCAGAACTCGTCAGCTCTGGGTCCTGCTTACATGCGCTCTGGTTCTCTAAGCCTGGAACAACTGTTCTCTCAGCAAGTTTAGATTGGAACGAGGCACGGAGTGGGCAGACACCATCCCCTGTTGGCTGAGGCGAAACAGGGAAAGGAAAAGGATGCTTCCCATGCAGCGAGTCCCTGCCACCTACCATGGCACCTCGCTCAGCTGCCCCACCGGGGGGGCGTCACACCCTGCCCTGGACGCTCACAGCACAGGCCACCTCGGCACCAGGGCCAGCGGCCACGAGGGGCCTGGTACTCACTCCTGAGAGTTCTCTCTCAAAAGCCCCAGCTGCCCCTGCTCCGGGCACTAGGCCCCAGCTGCACTCTGTCCCCAGGGGGCTGGTGGGTTGGGGGGGACCAGGAATACGCCACGACTGCTCACGGGTCATCGTTTATTGAGTCGAGAAGTCACACAAGGTAACATCGTACAGGAAATCATTTCCAGGGCTTAAGAAAAATGATTGTCACTCAGGGTGCTTCACAAAAATTTCTTTTAATGAATAAATAATTTGATGAAATCAAAAATATTTACAATATAAACAAATGGGAAAGCTTTGGATCTGTGAATCTGATCGAAGGGTTTTGCGTTTTTCAGTTAAGCCCTCCCAAGCCTTTCCCTTGGAAACAATACAAATCTGATAGAAACGACAACTCGTACAACATATCTTTGTTCATTACACATTTATCTGTTAGTCCTGGAAAGCTATATAAGCATATATTATGCAACATGTTAAAATACAAATATTACCTAAAATAATATATTATAATGCCAGGTAGCATTCTCCACAGAACACAAACAGACACTCAGCTGTAACAATAACAAAGGATCACGGGCCACAAAATAATACCCCAAAGGTACAAATTCCTTCATAAGAATATAATTGTGCTCTTCTTGGCCAGATGCCTGCGCTGCAAGCCGTGATGAGGGTGCGGTGTTTGACGGCTGGAGGCTGAGGGCATGTCTGTCAGCGGCAGCATTGCTGGGAATTGGGCAGGGCAAGCAGTTTATAAACATTTTCGTAGGCTCTTACAAAGAGCCAATTACGCGAAGCAAAATAAGCATATCGAGAAGTCTTCTCCTCTTTTACGCACCTATCACGGAGTGCCTCGGCTTTGTGGTAGGCAGGGGCATGTCTGCGGAGCCATGTATGCCGTCAGCCAGAGTTCAAGTATTCCAGGGCCACCTCGTAGCAGAACTTGTACTGATCCTGGAAAACAGAAGGGGAACAATGCCAACTCTAGAATACCTAAATGCTGTTTCTATTAAAGCAATTACGGTAGATTAGGGTCTTAATTGTAAGAAATCAAACCAGTAAGGATCTGAATTAGAAATGAGTCAGGATGTCACGGTTCTAAACCCCACACATACGCCCTCTTTGTAGGTGCTCCCCACAAGGCCTGGCGAGATGTGTTGTGATGTCTATACTCACTGGAACTCCTGGAAAGTTCTGAATAACTGGAACTCACGCATAGGTTTGCCCACACACATGCGTTGACTGGTACATCGACATTCTGAGCTTTGTGCAGGAAAATCAAGAGGCAGAAGGAAAGATTACAGAAGCCTGAGGCAGCATCTTCCTGCTTCACTCTCACAGGCTCTCAGTGCCAGGATGGGGCTTCCTTTGTGCTTCCCACACCCTACTAATTTTTATTTTTTTTGTGGAGACTTGGCCTTTCTATGTTGCCCATGCTGGATTCAAACTCCTGGCCTCAAGTGAGCCTCCCACTGCTGCCTCCCTAGTAGCTGGGATTATAGGTGACTGCCACCGTGCCTGGCTTTTGGATAGCAGTCTGCGGGGCTTCCTGGCGAGAATTCAGGAAGCACCTCCTGCGTTCCAGACCCCTTGACCTGGTCCCTGACTTTGATAAGTCCGTGATTCCGGAAGAGAAGGAGAAAACACACGAGGCAGAATGGCCCCCTAACGTGTGCTGTAGGCTGAGTGGGGGAGATGGCAGGTGTTAGGGGGGACTGGCAGCAAGGAGGGGGAAGATGGTGCCTTTCCTGGAGGAGGAAACGGATGCGCGGAGCTGGGGCAGGTGATGATATGCCTTGGTCTGCCCAGGACGGTCCTGGCTTCTACCTGTTGTCCTGGCATAATTACTAGTAGCAATCTCTTTCACTCTCAAAGGGTTCCATTTTGGATATTAAAGTGTGTGGCCATCCTAATCAGGGTTAAAACAGGCATTCCAGGCAGAGGTATCAGGACAATGGAAGGTGAAGAAGAAGTGCTTGAAATCTTCTGGGACCCATAGACCAGTTCTTTATCATGCAAAAAATCCATTCTCATTCCCTCTTTCTCCCTCTCTCTTTCCCTTCCTTCCTTTCTTCCTTTTTTTTCTTTTAAATGGAGACTGGGTTTCACTCTGTCATCCAAGCTGCAGTACAGTGGCATGATCCTGGCACACTGCAGCCTCGAACTCCTGGGCTTAAGTGATCCTTCCACTTCAGCCTCCCAAGTAGCTGAGACTACAGAGGTGTAACACCACACCCTACTAATTTTTAATTTTTTTTGTGGTGACATGGCCTTTCTATGTTGCCCAGGCTGGATTCAAACTCCTGGCCTCAAGTGAGCCTCCCATTGCTGCCTCCCTAGTAGCTGGGATTACAGGTGACTGCCACCGTGCCTGGTTTTTGGATTCATTTTTCAGATCACATAGCGTGGTCTGAGCAAGCTCTGTGTGAGGTCCTGGCCCAGGTGTGGTCTTGGCAGGGGAGGACATTCTGCTCCTGTGTGTGTGCAACCCTGATGGGACCAAGCCTCTGATCAAGCAGAGGGACAGCGGGCTTTTGAGAATGCTCTGCCTCCCGCCCAGCAGGAGTCCAGCCCTCAACAGGGCTCAGCAACTTTCAGGCTCTCTTCCCATTTCAGTCCGAGACAAGCTTTTGCAACACATGCGATTTGACACCACTGTCTCTATCCATCACGGCGGCCACTGCCAAGGAAATGCACCTTCTATTTTCAGTTTTGCCAATTAACTGAAAATAAGGCACCATCTCCCCACTCCCTGCTGCCATCCTCCCTAACACCTGCTCCCCGCCCCCATGAGCCCACAGTGCATGTGAGGGGCCCATTCTGCCTCTCGTGCTGGCTCCTCCTCTTCCGGAATCATTTTAATTGACTCTTTAATTAACTTTTTTTCGTATATGCCTCCTAATGTGTCACTGAGATTTCCTTTCTTCACCTACAATCTGTTCTCTAAATGCCCTGGAAGTCCAACCTACTTATCTGAAGATGAGGGCGGGATTATCCCTCGTTATAGGGTGCACCAGGCTCTTGTATGAACCTGACACATAGTTGAAAGGCAAATGTCGGCGCACATAGAACTGGTGACAAGCCACAGCTCTGGCAGCATCTGATTCAAGCATAAGCATTTATGGCTAGAGACTGGGGCTTACATCGAGAGGTAAAGACAGAAAGTAAACAGATCATTTCAATGCACTGAAGGTTCCCCAAGACTAAAAGTCAGTACATTTAACACACACTAGGAAGGCTGAAATAAAAAGGCAAAAACAAGTGATGGCGAGGATGAGGGGAAGATGGAACCCCTTTGCTGGTGGGGATGTAAATGGGGCAGCCCCTTTGGAGAAGAGTCTGGCAAAAGGTTAAACATAGAATTACCACATGACCTCACATTTCTACTACTGGGTACACACCCAAGAAAACGCAGAATGGGTGTCTATTACATAAAAACTTGTCAACAAATGTCCATGGTGCATTGTTCAAAATAGCCAACAGCCTACATAACTGAAATGACCATCAATTAACAGTGGATAAACAAAATGTCATACAGCTATAAAGTGGAACATTATTTGGCAACGAAAAGGAATGAAATGCTAATACATGCTACAATATGGACAAATTTGAAACATGGATATGTCTTCTGAGTGAAGGAAGTCAGATATAAAAGGGCACACATTGTCTGATTCCATTTACGTGAAATGCTCAGAATATGCAAATCTGTACAGATCAAAAGCAGGCAGGTGGTTACCAGGGACTGGAAGAGAAGGTGGTGGGGAGTGACTGCTAACAGGTGTGGGGTTTCTTTTGGGGGTGATGGAAATGTCAGTTTAAATTGTAGTGATGGTTGCATAACTGTGAATATACTAGAAAACCACTGAATAGTATATTTTAAAAAGGGAAATTTTATAGCATGTGAATTCTCTCTCAATAAAGCTGTTATTTAAAAAAATCACTAGCAGAAAAATGCTGCTCATCTCTGGCTGTGAATCCTGCCTTTAATGTCAATCAAGGGTTCGGGTGGGACTGAAACTGGGCACACACCGACACACAGGCACGAGTGCAGCTGTCTCACTGAGAGGACAACAATAGAGAATGAGAGGACAACAATAGATTTAGGTTAAGAGCATGCTATTGAGAGACCCAAGAAACCAAGAAACTTATTTGCTGTAAAAGTAGTGTTTAGTTCACTATATTTCATATATCCCCACCTCATGTTTACTATATATTTTGTGTATTCCTACCTCATGTATTTTATGAAATCTTAGTACTTTGAATCCTACCTCAGACCCCGTAGAATTAGGCATATGTCGGGTTTTAAGCAGTGTTTGTATTTAGAATCCTTGGGTTAAGCATTGTCAAACCCAAACCAGTAGGCTAACTTATGCTTTTACAACGGGATGTAAAGGATAAAGCGATAAGCCTCTTTCAAACATTCCTACAAGGTGGCACCAGACTTAGAGGAGCCACCTCCTCTCTAGGTGGGCTTTATCACCGGTTTATATCTCAGTGATAATTTACAGCAGTGGCTATGTAAACCTGCAGGGAACAAAGACCTTTATAAAAGTAACTGCCTTGCTATTATAAGCTTGCTATTATAAATTCCCAGAATTAGTATATGATTTTCTACCCCACATTCACTGTATGTGTTTGCAGCATTCATATTTAAAACTTTGTTAAGTTTGGCTTTTGTTGTCCCATAATGACTATGCAAAAGTTAAGCAAACAAGCTTTCCTAAGTAAGCCTTGGGCTGGATCGGTAAACTAAAAGGGCTAATGTAACCCTTTGTCTGCCGGCCCAGGTTACTTCATAAGCCGAGACTGTATGGACCTAACTTATCTAACATTTCACTCGACCCATTACGTGGGTTTCTGTCAATCACGGGCAGCACCAACCAATACCAGGTATTCCCGTACCCATTAGGAGAAATTACCCAATCATGTAAAATCAAGTTTGGAGTTCTTTCCCCTCCCTCTGTAATTGTGCATAAAAACTGCTTGCCATTGTGAATCAGGGCTCTGGTCCCTGAAGCTGCTGCTTCGGGCGTGAGCCCAGACTCGAGCCTGAATAAAGACCCTCGTGTGTTTGCATCGGAGCTGGCTCTTTGTGGTCTCTATATCTCTCTCATTAGAGTCCCGGGTTCAACACTCACAACATTGGTATTCTAGGGGTCACGGGTCTGAGTGCTCCACAGTGACCAGGAGACTCAGGACCGATGAACCCCGAGACCCTGGCCAGTCAGTTTTCCTCCTGTTACAAACGGGGGGCTGGGTCCTTACGTAAGTTTCCCTTCCAGCTTTGTCCACCTAGAATTCTGTAATTTCAAGACTTGGCTTGCTCTTATCTTAAAGCAAACTGATAACGGATGAGAAGGTGTTCTTTAAACTAACTCATCTTGCAGATAACAGGTATTCCACCACAGTGTTCCACCATTTCCCTCAACTGACCACTCTCTTCCCACACACATGGGCAAGGCAATATGTAGACTTTTTTTTTCAACTCTTTAGTTGGAAAATTTATCACTTGCTCTAGGCAGCATTATATTTCAGATCTAGAATTTGTTATTTTAGGATTTGATACTTTTATTTTCAGAATATTTAAAAGAGATAATTAGAATTCTAAAATGATAAAAGGTCATGGAGTCTGTCGGATCGCCAGGCTAACACACCAGCTATGAAGTGCTCCAGTCATTTTTCTTGTTTTTGTGAATCACAAGAACAATCTTTTTCATGGAAATCTAAGCGATCCGGCACCTTATGGCATAAAAATAATTTTGTACAAACCTAACTGTGCAGTTACCTCCAGTGACTCCTGTGAACCTTCCTCTTGACGTATTAAAGTGTGCCGAGTGGGAAATGCAGCACTGCCCTCAGGCCCCAGCACAGGCCAAACGCGGGAGGGGCTTTAGGCTTTGCAGTTGAGGAGCTGCTGCCTGGACACCCCCGAAGCTGCTCTGTCTCAGGCATGA